CCAAAAATAAAATTAAAAACAAGAAAAAATAGAACCTTTTCTGTTTTTTTTTTTGTTTTTTGTTTGTAACTATGCGGGAAGAGAAAGAGAGAGAACGAAGCCTCTTCAAAATTGACAAACAATTCTTTTTTATTATTATTATTATTATTATTATTATTATTTTTATTTTTACTTTGTTTGGACTTGGTCTGAGTTTGTTATTATTTGGTCCATTATTTTCTACTTTCAGCTGAAGCACGTTTGCATTACTGCTACATCTTTCTGCTATTTTATTGACACGTAATGCCTATGTAAAGGCATCCTTGGTTATGCAGTAAACAATTTTTAGTTCATTTTCTGCCCACTATGTGTTTGACAAAATTCCTCTTCTAAAATTCTCGTACTTAATTGGCTGTTACATTCTCTCTTTTCCAGTGTTTGAGTATCCTTGATCTACGGACAGTGGCATCGGCGCACGTCGAGAGTCAACAGGCTTTGTGACAAAAAGGGAATCACCATGGCTTCAAAAGTTGAGAGTTTTGGAGCATCCAAATGAAAACTCTCAAGACCTCTAGGACCTAGTAAAGAATGGATTTGCTTATCCAAATGAGGAGAACCGATTGAAGGAGAATAAGAAGAAGGACTCAAAAGTATTATTCTTCATCCAATAAGCAGTTTATGAGATGCTTTTTTCGCGAATTGCCACAACTATAACCTCGAAACAAACACAGACAATTTTACGAACAGAGTTTCAAGGCTCATCAAAGATAATAGTCGTGGAACTCCAAATTCTTCGCCATTTGTTTGAAACTTTAATCATGAAAAACAAAGAATCAGTGCAAGACTTCTTATCTAAAGCAATGACAATAGTTAGTCTAGGAAGATCATAGGGAGATCAAATAATTGATCAAACTATTTTTGCAAAAGTTTTAAAGAGTTTTAACTCCAAAGTTTGTAACTGTAATTAAGGAGTCCAGAGACTTGTCTAACTTTTTATTTAATGAATTGATGGGTTCTTTACAAGCCAAAGAGGCAACATTAAACAAATCAGTTGAATAACATGAAGAGAAAACATTTTAAGTGAAGGGGGAAACATCTAATTCGAGAGAATTTGACAAAGCAGCAGTAGGAATTTATTAATTTCTGCACGTCCCTTGTACAATATATATCTATATAATATTATCTGCTATGGAAATATTAGATTATTGCATCACTTTGATTACTTTTTCTTCATCTTAATTCGCCATGTCTGTGAAAAAGGAAAAAAAAAAAAAACACTATTTTTGGCTCATTGGTCGAAACCAACCACGTAACCTAATCTCAACGCTTATATATGCATACATATAGCGAGAGGGATAAAGATATATCTCCTTCCTATTCTTTGCCTATACATAT